ATGGGTGAAAAACTGATTTTTGAAACAGGGTTTATATGGGAGCTAGGGGCAAATATGGACCAAATTTGCCCCTAGCAAATTTGTGAATACATTTATATTTACATAATATTTTATTGTGCTGAATTTCATTGCGATATTTGTGTTTATAAGTTAATTTTGGACATTCAAGTAATTTTCTGAAGGGGACTTTGTATGGGAGCTAGGGTCAAATGAGTCCCTATCTTTATGAAATTTGGCAAGGTCATCAAGGCTCGTATAAAACTTAGTTGTGCCGCTTTTTATCAATATACAGGTATTTTTTAGATAATAATGAGCTCAGAAGCCCTTTTCGGGGGGGTTCTGTTGTATGGGGGCTAGGTGAAATAATGGACCGATTTTAACCATTTTCAGTCCTTGGTCCAAAAAAAGAGTGTGTGCCAAATTTTATCCAATTATCTTGAAAATTGCGACCTGTGCCTTGCGCACAAGGTTTACATGGACAGCCAGCCAGCCAGACGGACATAGCTTATTCGACTCAGAAAACGATTTAAGCCGATTGGTATACTTCATATACCGGCGTATAGAGAGGCAGATAAAAAAATCACCACTACACACACACTATTGGCATTTTTTCAATGAAATTGCACTGAAAAAAATATTTGGTTATTTTTAATTTTGAAGATTAAATTACATGCGAATATTTATCAACAAAATGTAATCAATGTACATAAGAATAATAATTTCTTCACATAGAAACAACATTTCAAATTAAAAATGTACAAAAAAAATATGAAACAAGATGAACTTATTTACTTTCATTGTTATGCATTCTAGAAAATTATTTAGGGTGTAGGTTGTTTTTGTAAATTATGCTCTTGTTTTTGCAAGTTGTTTTTGTTTTTTCAAGTTGTGTTTGCAATTTCTTCAACAAAGCGACATCAACCTGCTTTGTTGAATGCTGTCAAGCAACTAAATAAAATATTTGTATTTTTGATGCTCTTGTTTAGAAGTTCGTCTGCGATCGTGTTGTGTACATGTAATTTGCCGAAAATCTTCGTTGTCAGAACAATACTAGCGCCGACGTCTGGTATACTTTAAGGTGGGTATAGGACGAATATTTTTGTATGTTACAAACATCAGCACAAACCCAATATACCCTCCCCACTAAAGTGGTGTAGGTTATAAAAATTACCATACGGCAACTTCTCATAACTAACTTCAAATTTTTTCCGCGACCTATTCACACTTGCAATTCTAGCAGAGATTATGAATACATTTTTGGACAATTTGCTTTAATTTATTGTAAATATCACTTAGTGTTCATGCATGATCAAATTTTTGCCAGTACATATTTAATAACAGTATCAAATAAATTTTTTTGACATGCGTTCTTATTCAAAAACTGAAGAATTCGCGACCAAATACTAAAATTTTGACCGATAACAAAGAAAGGGGCAAAAAGTGGCAGCCAATTTTTATACTATTTCAAAGCCAATGAGCTACTCTTTCCAACGTATATAAAATATCTACAGAAGTAAGAGAGAGTTCTTTCAAAGAAACTTTGAATTTTTAAAGTATATATATATATATATATATATATATATATATATATATATATATATATATATATATATATAACATTTGTCAAATTTGATAATTTATGAAACCAGTTTAAGGCGGAGGGTATTTAAGATTCGGCAAATATAGCACTCTAGCTTGTTTCTAGTAAATTTCTTTATTTAATGGAAAAAAAACCATTCAAATTAATATATGAAATTATTACTTAAAATTGTATTTCAAATAACTAAGAACAACGCACCCGTTTTTCCCTTTTGAACATCTAGGCGGTTTGAAAAATTTGCTGATTGCTTTTTGTTTTCTAACTACTTTAATTTCTTGCAATTTCCTTAACTTAATTTTATTTGTTAGATCCAAATTCAATCTAAAAGATAAAATTAAACTCTTTTTAGGAAAAAAAACTGAACTTGAGAATCGAAAACTGAGTCTCATGCTGATAATTTGAAACCCCTGAAATAATTGTTCCATGTTGGGATATCTTGGTCTCCTCGAAATAATTTATTTTGCTGTAAAATTGTATTAATTCAATTTATTTTTATTCAAGCTAAAGTTATCATTAAATTCACATCTAACGGATTTAGGTTTTTTAGATTATAGTGTATGTCATTTTGTTCGATAGGTCAGATATGCAGAATAGGAACTCCTTAACGACTCTAAACGGCTTCAATTTTTTTTTTTTTTGGTTTGCTCGGAAAGGGCTTGCTCGATTGTAAAAAAATAACATGATATGAAAGGTCGTGGAAAGGCCTTTCAGATGATGTGCAATATTATATGAATTATTATTTGAATTATTGAGTGCCAAAAGCTTAAAAAGGGTTTTGAAACATGACTTTTTTTGTAAAAGTGCTCATAATTTGAAAAGTGGACAAGTATTATATAGAGAACATAATGCGGAAGATATTCTACATTATATTATACATCATTAAATGTCTGTAACTCCTAAACCAAATGAGAGCAAGAAAAAATGTTTAGATCAAACAATTTTAAATTAAGTTTGCTACACCTGGTTAAAATATTATGAAAATCGCAGCTGTTTAGAGTCGGTAAGTTATGCCTCCAAATCGTTGAAAACTAATTTTTTAGAAAAAAATTCGTGTGTGACAATATCGTGAAGTTTTTCATGTAACATGACTTTTAATAGCCACGAGTTGATGGCATACATGTAAAAAGTGCTTATATCAAAAATGGACTATAAAGTAATCTTTTTATATGAAACTGAAAGACAGAGACATTTAAATCTAATGAATTTGACAATATAACTAATGTGACTATAACAGTGATGACTATAAACGAAAACTACTGTATATTTTTATAGCGCCCTAAAATATGCTTTAACGATATTTAATAATGTGCATGTATGCATGTGTGTGAAAGATTTAAGGATTTTTAAAATACATATATATAATTTTGTTCTACACAAATTGATAATGCAACTAGTTAAATACGGTTAATGTGCTTTTAGGGGCAGGACCTAGTATGGGAGATATGACCAATTATAGACCGATCGTAAAAAATTCTTTAAGCAAAATTTCTGTACATAAAAGCTATATTTTAGTCAAATTTTGTATCTATATCGTAATTTAGTAATAAGTAATCGGTCCATGTTATGGACCGATCGTGAAAAAATCTTGAAATAGAATTTTTGTATACCAAACTAATATTTGTGCCAAACTTTGTATCAATAGCTTTATTTGGTAATGAGTAATGGGCGTTTAAGAGATTTTCGTAAAAGGACCTTGTATGGGAGCTATGACCAATTATGTATATAAAGAAAAAATTTCAAAATTCTGTATCTATATCATTATTTGTTGCGGTATACCTCACCGCACCGAGGATTTTGTCTTCTGGCCACCCCAAAAAAAAAAAATTTTGCGTGGGGGGACCTTAGGAAAACTGTCGGGAGGAGGCCAGGAATGCAAATTTGCCTCCACTCCCTGTTTAAAATCAGTGGGGAGGGGCTTACGGCCAATGGAGACACCACCTCCTGCCCGGTGTAATTCAATAATAAAAAGGGGAGGGGCTTACGGCCAATGGAGACACTACCTCCTGCCCGAGTCCCAGTGTTTGTTTTTTTTTTTTGTTAGTTTATTTGGTTTTTAAATTTTTTTTTGGTTAATATATTAGTTTATTAGTTTTTCGTGTGGTTTCTATTTCGTTTGTCTTTATTTAGTTTTTTTTTTTTTTTTGGTAGTGTTTTTTGTTTGTTTTGTTGGTAAAGTTGTTTATTGATAGGCTGAAAATAACTAAAAATATTAATAAAATGAATGAAATCAGAACGATAGTACATACTATACCTGCTAAAGTAGTCCTCCTTTTTTTTGTAGCCTGAAAAGAAAAGAAAAAGAAACATTAAAATTTAAAAATTACCAAAATACTTACCAAATAAATAATCCATGTGCTTGTCCTCCAGCTGTTGTCAAAATGAATGAAAACAGGGCCGCTCACAATGTCAAAAGCAGTAAAAGTGTTGGCAACGCCGCATATATCGTAAGAGTGTAGGGTTGTATTTCATTCATGCAGATATGGGAATGCGTATTATTTTTATAGTAAAATTTAAAAATAGTGAAATTTATAAAAAAAAATAAATGAATGAAAATACTACTACTAAAAATTATGAGTTCCTGATACATGAGGCGGTACAATATATGTAAGATAGGGAAAGCGCCTTAATTGTGGGAATTAAGCAAAAATTACTTATTTGGAGGCACAAATAATTAGGAAAAATCAGCAAGTAAAAAAATTAATAAGAAAATTAAAATCAATAAGTGAAAAAAAAAAACCGCCAAAAACAAATAGAAAAAAATATGCCGCGAAAAAGTATCTAATGTAATAAAAAGGCGGATTACATGATCGGCGGGCAGAAAAAGGCTACGACATGATGTGTAGGGGAAATATGTAAATATCTTATGTAGCAGAATTGTAGGAGAATGAAATTCGCGGGAAATTTTATTTACATAAAAGTAGGGGAAGACAAAAATAGGGTATTTAAGCTCACGATAGAAATGAAAATAGCACAGTTGGTGAAAGAAAAGTTAAGTGAGTGTACTGAAAGTTTTTTAAAAGAAAGTTTAATAAAAAGTTAAAAAAAAGACTTAAAGTCAAAGTAATAATCAAGCTTCGAAAATATTCCTTAAAATTATCCTGGAGGGTAGTATAATCCAAGTGTTTAAAATTATTTAAATAATTAAAAAAAAAAATAATAAAATACGTAAGTCGATATAGAAAATGTAGCATATCGTGAGGGATTTTTCAGCGATTTTATTAATCCTTTATAGCTGGCTAATTTACGAGAAGGAAGTCGCAAAATCTTGAGAAGCCGGTCATCCTAGTAATTAGCCAGGTAAATTTTTGAATTATTCCTATAAAATAATTTACGGAAGGATATAACAGGCCACATAAATGAAAAAAAATCCCTTCAAGTAAAACAGAAAAAGAGAAATTGGTGAAATCTTTATATTATTATATTTAAATACTTATTAAAACAAACTCATTTTATAAAAACAATCATTATATAACTAACTCACTTGATATAGCAAACAAACATACTTTATACAATTTCTTCAACAAACGCTAATAAGTGAAGACAATATTATATGAAAGAACATTTTAAACTTGTCCTATTGAGGGTCAATTATCAACCAACAAGAAATTTAAAAAACAATTATAAAAACAAAAAAGAAAATAAGGTAGATTTTAAGATATAATAAGGTAGTTGTGTGATCGTGGAAGAAATATTGTAAACCGTGCTAGTGTCTGTAGTTTCGTGTATTTTTGTTTGAATCACATAAAGCTCGAGTATACCGGAAAAGAAAAAAAAAAAGAAAAATACAAGAATTAGAAAGAAATACCTATATATATATATCTTAAGATTATTACCCAGATCTAAAGAAAAGCGCGTAGACAAAAACCTTATTACATTACAAAGGCATTGAAAGATATAACTCAGGGAGCTCCTTTAGTTGTAGGTTGTAGCTAAATCGAACTCGAATTGAAGAAGTAGAAGCTTAAGCCCTGAAAAGAAGAATATAGGATATATATGTTAGTTAAACGAGTAAAATATAAGTAAACAAAATATTGAGAGAATTAATACGAAATACCGTGATTCTTTCAAATTTTTAGGGTTTTGTATGTGTTTAGATCTAAGTTATATATTAAGTTTCTTTTATTATCTAATAACCGGTATGTATATTATGAATTGAAATTAAAACTTACAATGTTGGTCTAATTAAGTAAAGGTAATGGCGATGATAGACCGGTAAGTGGTTACAAGGGTCAGGTGGGATTTGGGTCGCTATAAAGAGAATTCCGTGGATCCGTCAGCGACAAGGTTGGGAGGGCAGATACAGAGGACAACATCTATCTCTGTAAAGGAAACGTGATTAATGTGGTTCAGATTATGGAAGTTTGTTTTGTGATTTGAATACCTTTTTGTTTTGTGTAGAGTACGAGTTTGGCGAGAAAGGGTTGGAACCTCCTGAGGTCGGTCATGCAGTTAGTCGAAACCTCGCCTTACAACCGGTTCATAACACAAATGGCGCCCAATTAAATGCGATAGTTCAGAATATTTTCGTCAGACTCGGCAGAAATGTTCCAAACTATAAAAGGAAACATGTATGAACATCGACACATGTAAAAATAGCCCAGATAGTGTAGTAAATAGCCCAAAAGATCGCAAGAAACGTTGAAATGTTTATCCATATAGCCGTCTAAATCAGATTGAATAAGAGTGTTGTATATGAGTAAAGATCAACAGTATCTAACCGATTATAGAATACTTACAGGGATAAATCGCTGCAGCTTAAAGTAAAAACGATTTATCTTTAATTGTATGGCGAAATATTTCCGAATTACCTTAAGTTTTTGTTTTGTTTTCCTTTTTTCAAATTATTAAAATGTATAGAAACGGAATAATGTCTGATAGCCTCTCCTTATAACTAAGTATACGAGGTTAGTTGTATCAGATAATATCCGTAACAGTCGTCACATCAGATGATAATATAATGATGTAGCCGATTGATCATACAGAAAATATGATTTGAAACCGCTTTAAATTAGCCAACCACATTAAGCATAGTCAAAATAGCAACCGCCTTGACACACCCATCCGTTTATCATTGCCAAAACCTGAAAAATTTAATATTTGATATCCATTAATACAAATTCAATTTTAGAGTTTATAAAAAATTGGTTCATATTCATGATTAATCTTTATCTTGTTTATTTTCCATCTACATTATTCATTTATTTTGATTGTTAGTTTATTTATTCGTTAGTTTACCTTATTTATTAGTTATTTTGATTCTTATTAGTATATTATTAGTCTAATTATTATATTATTATTATTATTATTATTATATTATTATTATTATTATTATTATTATTATTATTATTATTATTATTATTATTATTATTATTATTATTATTATTATTATTATTATTATTATTATTATTATTATTATTATTATTATTATTATTATTATTATTATTATTATTATTATTTTTATTATTATTATTATTATTTGTATTATATTAATACAAATTCAATTTTAGAGTTTATAAAAAATTAGTTCATATTCATGATTAATCTTTATCTTGTTTATTTTCCATCTACATTATTCATTTATTTTGATTGTTAGTTTATTTATTCGTTTACCTTATTTATTACTTATTTCGATTCTTATTAGTATATTTATTAGTCTAATTATTATTATTATTATTATTATTATTATTATTATTATTATTATTATTATTATTATTATTATTATTATTATTATTATTATTATTATTATTATTATTATTATTATTATTATTTTTATTATTATTATTATTATTATTATTTATTAAGTTAATCTTTTATGTATTTCATTTATTCACCGGTATAGTACAATTTAGTTTATCTTATTTATATTTTTATAGCATTTAGTAGTTATTTGATTTGTTATTTATATATTTATTTTGTAATCCTAATATTTTTCTACTTATTCATTTATCCATAACTTATATTTTCAAATTATTTCACCAATTTCCTAAATAATTCCTTTTTTCATATAATTTTTGCCCTATTTATTTCCGTGAGTGTATTAAATCGAGTAAAATTTTACATTCGAATTGCATAATAAGATCTAAAGTAAAGTTGTTTATTGATAGGCTGAAAATAACTAAAAATATTAATAAAATGAATGAAATCAGAACGATAGTACATACTATACCTGCTAAAGTAGTCCTCCTTTTTTTTGTAGCCTGAAAAGAAAAGAAAAAGAAACATTAAAATTTAAAAATTACCAAAATACTTACCAAATAAATAATCCATGTGCTTGTCCTCCAGCTGTTGTCAAAATGAATGAAAACAGGGCCGCTCACAATGTCAAAAGCAGTAAAAGTGTTGGCAACGCCACATATATCGTAAGAGTGTAGGGTTGTATTTCATTCATGCAGATATAGGAATGCGTATTATTTTTATAGTAAAATTTAAAAATAGTGAAATTTAAAAAAAAAAATAAATGAATGAAAATACTACTACTAAAAATTATGAGCTCCTAATACATGAGGCGGTACAATATATTTAAGATAGGGAAAGCGCCTTAATTGTGGGAATTAAGCAAAAATTACTTATTTGGAGGCACAAATAATTAGGAAAAATCAGCAAGTAAAAAAATTAATAAGAAAATTAAAATCAATAAGTGAAAAAAAAACCGCCAAAAACAAATAGAAAAAAATATGCCGCGAAAAAGTATCTAATGTAATAAAAAGGCGGATTACATGATCGGCGGACAGAAAAAGGCTACGACATGATGTGTAGGGGAAATATGTAAATATCTTATGTAGCAGAATTGTAGGAGAATGAAATTCGCGGGAAATTTTATTTACATAAAAGTAGGGGAAGACAAAAATAGGGTATTTAAGCTCACGATAGAAATGAAAATAGCACAGTTGGTGAAAGAAAAGTTAAATGAGTGTACTGAAAGTTTTTTAAAAGAAAGTTTAATAAAAAGTTAAAAAAAAAGACTTAAAGTCAATGTAATAATCAAGCTTCGAAAATATTCCTTAAAATTATCCTGGAGGGTAGTATAATCCAAGTGTTTAAAATTATTTAAATAATTAAAAAAAACAAGTAAGAAATTATAGTCAGGCGTGGCCGACCATATGATACCCTACACCAGTTATGAATATTAAATGTGATTTATTTTTCATAATAAAGCATTTATCTTCAATATTCCCTTGTTCCGATACATTTAAGCAATTTATGGATGAAAAACTAATTTTCTGAAAGAGGCTTTATATGGGGGCTAGGGGCAAATATGGACCAAGCCCGATAAAATTTTGTGAATATATTTATATTGACATAATATTTTATTGTGCTGAACTTCATTGCGATATTTGTGTTTATAAGCTAATTTGGGACATTGAAGTAATTTTCTGAAGGGGACTTTGTATGGGAGCTAGGGTCAAATGAGGCCCGATCTTTATGAAATTTTGCAGGGTCATCTAGACTTATATAAAACTTAGTTGTGCCGTATTTTATCGATATATATGTATATTTAACATAATTATGAGCTCAGAAGCCCTTTTCGGGGGGTTCTGTTCTATGGCGGCTAGGTGAAATAATGGACCGATCTTAACCATTTTCAATAGGCTTCGTCCTTAGGTCAAATAAAACGTGCGTGCCAAATTTCATCCAATTATCTTGAAAATTGCTACCTGTACCTTGCGCACAAAGTTTATATGGACAGCCAGCCAGACGGACGGACGGACATAGCTTAATCGACTCAGAAAACGATTCTAAGCCGATTGGTATACTTTAAGGTGGGTCTAGGACGAATATTTTTGTATGTTACAAACATCAGCACAAATCCAATATACCCTCCCCACTAAAGTGGTGTAGGGTATAAATAATAAAATACGTAAGTCGATATAGAAAATGTAGCATATCGTGAGGGATTTTTCAGCGATTTTATTAATCCTTTATAGCTGGCTAATTTACCAGAAGGAAGTCGCAAAATCTTGAGAAGCCGGTCATCCTAGTAATTAGCCAGGTAAATTTTTGAATTATTCCTATAAAATAATTTACGGAAGGATATAACAGGCCACATAAAAGAAAAAAATCACTTCAAGTAAAACAGAAAAAGAGAAATTGGTGAAATCTTTATATTATTATATCTAAATACTTATTAAATCAAACTCATTTTATAAAAACAATCATTATATAACTAACTCACTTGATATAGCAAACAAACATACTTTATACAATTTCTTCAACAAACGCTAATAAGTGAAGACAATATTATATGAAAGAACATTTTAAACTTGTCCTATTGAGGGTCAATTATCAACCAACAAGAAATTTAAAAAACAATTATAAAAACAAAGAAGAAAATAAGGTAGATTTTAAGATATAATAAGGTAGTTGTGTGATCGTGGAAGAAATATTGTAAACCGTGCTAGTGTCTGTAGTTTCGTGTATTTTTGTTTGAATCACATAAAGCTCGAGTATACCGGAAAAGAAAAAAAAAAAAGAAAAATACAAGAATTAGAAAGAAATACCTATATATATATCTTAAGATTATTACCCAGATCTAAAGAAAAGCGCGTAGACAAAAACCTTATTACATTACAAAGGCATTGAAAGATATAACTCAGGGAGCTCCTTTAGTTGTAGGTTGTAGCTAAATCGAACTCGAATTGAAGAAGTAGAAGCTTAAGCCCTGAAAAGAAGAATATAGGATATATATGTTAGTTAAACGAGAAAAATATAAGTAAACAAAATATTGAGAGAATTAATACGAAATACCGTGATTCTTTCAAATTTTTAGGGTTTTGTATGTGTTTAGATCTAAGTTATATATTAAGTTTCTTTTATTATCTAATAACCGGTATGTATATTATGAATTGAAATTAAAACTTACAATGTTGGTCTAATTAAGTAAAGGTAATGGCGATGATAGACCGGTAAGTGGTTACAAGGGTCAGGTGGGATTTGGGTCGCTATAAAGAGAATTCCGTGGATCCGTCAGCGACAAGGTTGGGAGGGCAGATACAGAGGACAACATCTATCTCTGTAAAGGAAACGTGATTAATGTGGTTCAGATTATGGAAGTTTGTTTTGTGATTTGAATACCTTTATGTTTTGTGTAGAATACGAGTTTGGCGAGAAAGGGTTGGAACCTCCTGAGGTCGGTCATGCAGTTAGTCGGAAACCTCGCCTTACAACCGGTTCATAACACAAATGGCGCCCAATTAAATGCGATAGTTCAGAATATTTTCGTCAGACTCGGCAGAAATGTTCCAAACTATAAAAGGAAACATGTATGAACATCGACACATGTAAAAATAGCCCAGATAGTGTAGTAAATAGCCCAAAAGATCGCAAGAAACGTTGAAATGTTTATCCATATAGCCGTCTAAATCAGATTGAATAAGAGTGTTGTATATGAGTAAAGATCAACAGTATCTAACCGATTATAGAATACTTACAGGGATAAATCGCTGCAGCTTAAAGTAAAAACGATTTATCTTTAATTGTATGGCGAAATATTTCCGAATTACCTTAAGTTTTTGTTTTGTTTTCCTTTTTTCAAATTATTAAAATGTATAGAAACGGAATAATGTCTGATAGCCTCTCCTTATAACTAAGTATACGAGGTTAGTTGTATCAGATAATATCCGTAACAGTCGTCACATCAGATGATAATATAATGATTTAGCCGATTGATCATACAGAAAATATGATTTGAAACCGCTTTAAATTAGCCAACCATATTAAGCATAGTCAAAATAGCAACCGCCTTGACACACCCATCCGTTTATCATTGCCAAAACCTGAAAAATTTAATATTTGATATCCATTAATACAAATTCAATTTTAGAGTTTATAAAAGATTGGTTCATATTCATGATTAATCTTTATCTTGTTTATTTTCCATCTACATTATTCATTTATTTTGATTGTTAGTTTATTTATTCGTTAGTTTACCTTATTTATTAGTTATTTTGATTCTTATTAGTATATTTATTAGTCTAATTATTATTATTATTATTATTATTATTATTATTATTATTATTATTATTATTATTATTATTATTATTATTATTATTATTATTATTATTATTATTATTATTATTATTATTATTATTATTATTATTTTTATTATTATTATTATTATTTGTATTATATTAATACAAATTCAATTTTAGAGTTTATAAAAAATTAGTTCATATTCATGATTAATCTTTATCTTGTTTATTTTCCATCTACATTATTCATTTATTTTGATTGTTAGTTTATTTATTCGTTAGTTTACCTTATTTATTACGTATTTCGATTCTTATTAGTATATTTATTAGTCTAATTATTATTATTATTATTATTATTATTATTATTATTATTATTATTATTATTATTATTATTATTATTATTATTATTATTATTATTATTATTATTATTATTATTATTTTATTATTATTATTTATTATTATTATTAAGTTAAGTTAATCTTTTATGTATTTCATTTATTCACCGGTATAGTACAATTTAGTTTATCTTATTTATATTTTTATAGCATTTAGTAGTTATTTGATTTGTTATTTATATATTTATTTTGTAATAATAATATTTTTCTACTTATTCATTTATTCATAACTTATATTTTCAAATTATTTCACCAATTTCCTAAATAATTCCTTTTTTCATATAATTTTTGCCCTATTTGTTTCCGTGAGTATATTAAATCGAGTAAAATTTTACATTCGAATTGCATAAAAAGATCTAAAGTAATTAGATGATAACTTTCTTCTGAAAATATCATGAGCAATAGCCCTCCTAATACTAGATCAAGAATAAGTTATAGACAAGTGCAATTTGATTTAAACCGATCTTCACCTCACGTATGGCGGAAAGTCCCAAAACCTAATACTCCTAAAACTCTGTCTAAACCTTAAACTAAAACCGATATGGCTCAAAGTAATAAGCCTAATGAACAGATTAGAGATATGTCCCATACCATCATGTCTAGCACTCCTAATCTGACACAAGCCGCGAATGTTTTGCCTACAGATCTTTTAACTCAGGGTACTAGTAAACAGTTTGGAGAATCAGTTAAGCAATTAGTTCAACAAGGTATTAACTCACAGTTATCCGAGATTAAGAAGACCATGGCCGAATTGACATCAACAGTCGACTTGCATAGTGGTGCAACAAACTCAGCAGAAAAACCGCAAACTAAAAGAAGCATGCGTATCCAAAAATTCCAGTGATGGAAACATGCAAGTCGACGCCTCAGAAATTCAACTTCCCTCAGCTCCGTCATCAAGAGCATCATCCATAGCCAGTGAGGAGACAAGAAGCTATAACAGACCGCGTATGGATAAATGGGGATTAGAATTCGATGGGGACAACAACAAATTAGCTGTCGAAGACTTCGTGTTCCGTTTAGAACGACTGCAAAGCCAATATGGTGTATCCTGGAAGGAGGTTTTAGATAATTTCCATCTTTTAGTCAAAGGAGATGCTGAAAAGTGGTATTGGTTGTTTATACAAACCAATTACGCCACAGAATGGCCAACTTTAAAATCCGCCTTGCTAAAGCAGTACCAAGCAACCAGGTCTAGCTTTGAACTGATGAGAGATATGGTTGAAAGAAGACAATTGCCAGGAGAATCGATCGATGCGTTCTTTTTTGCCATGACTCAATTTAGATCTCGTCTTAGCATCTCTATGCCCGAAATGATAAAAATGATTAAGAAAAATCTCAGAGAAAATATTGGCAGAATTGTTTACCCGATGGCAGTTTCTTCGGTGGAAGAGTTAAGGATGAGTTGTTTAGATGCCGAAAAAACTTTCCTTAAAAGAGATTTTCGTCAACGGGCAGCAGTAGCAAACAGATACCAAAGACAAATTAGTGAGCTGTATGAAGATCAAGAAACTCAACCCGTTCGTGAAGAAAATTGTGATAAAGTAGCGGCAGATAGAATCGTCAATGCCAGCAACACCATTCCAAGGCAACCATTAGTATGCTGGAATTGTCGCCAAAATGGACACATGTTCATGAATTGCCCAGCAGAAGAAAGAACAATCTTCTGTTATCGTTGTGGAAAACCTGATATCATAGCCCCTAATTGTGCCAATTGCCGCAATCGAAATTTTTCCAGGAACGAAGGGAGAGCGGGGGACCATCGTTCAACACACAACCCGCAGGGACATCTGCAAGAACAATAAATACTAATTTGATACAAGAAGCAAAAAAAATCCACTAATTCTTACCCCAGCAAAGACATTTATACACTCTCGAAGAACGTCAAAAAAACTATGAATCCGTCCGAAATAGAATCTTTAACTCCGAAATCTCCATCCGTCGCCCAGAAATATCTAGAAGGATTAAAATGTTAAGAGAAAAATTCGCAGAAAGAAAATGAAATAGAAAACTTACCATAGAAGCAATTAAAACTGCTGATGAGAAATCTTCTGATCCCAGACCATATGCTGAGTTTTCAATTGGTAATGTCAATTTGCAAGGCCTTCTGGATACTGGTGCTTCAGTTAGCATCTTAGGAAAAGGATGTCGAGAACTAGTCAGAGAGTTAGATATTCCAATAATACCCATATACTCCTTAATAACAACAGCTAGTGGACAAAAACAAAGATTATTAGGTAAAATAATAGTAGACGTTAAATATAGTGATAGGACAGGTAGAATAACTTTTTATCTATGTCCAGATTTAGAACAACCAGCGTATTAGGGGATCGATTTTTTGAAAATATTCCAACTCGCTCCTCAAATCGTCGGCGTTGAAGAATTGAATATAGAAAGAGTTACTGAAACCTTCAAACCCGAAAACCACAAAACCGATCCGCATGAACTAAACGAAATGGAACAAAAACAACTCTCAGAAGTAGTTGATATGTTTCCTACGTTTGAGAAACTAGGTTTAGGATGCACGTCTTCAGAAAAACACACTATTAAACTACTAGACGGTGCAAAACCAGTAAAAGATAGACATTACCCAATATCTCCAGCGGTACAGGAAATCGTCTACAATGAAATTGACCAAATGTTAGCATTAAGATTTATCGAAGAAAGCGAAAGTCCCAGGAGTAATAGGACAACCATAGTAAGAAAACCGGGAAAGAATAGGTTTTGTTTAGATGCTAGGAAGCTAAATAAACTTACAGTCAAGGGTGCATATCCCTTGCAAAATATAGATGGTATCCTTAGCTGAATCGACGAAACTTATTTCATTAGTAGTGTAGACTTAAAATTTGCCTTTTGGCAAATTGAACTAGAAGAAGAGAGTAAGCCATACACAGCGTTTACCGTAGAAAGGCCGTTCCAAAAACTATATGTGGACTTTATGGGAAAATACCCAAGCTCCAAAAACGGATATATCTTCATAGTGGTAGATCATTTTACTAAATTCACTTTCCTAAAAGCGATGAAAGAAGCGTCTGCAAGTAATGTAATAGAATTCCTAGTGCATGAGATTTTTCATAAGTTCGGAGTTTCCGAAATCATCCACAGCGACAACGGTGAACAAATCATTTCAAAAAGTTTTGAAAATTTAATAAAAACATACAAAATCAAACATATAAAAACTGCAGTATACTCGCCACAAAGCAACGCAAGCGAATGAGTCAACCAATCAGTCAGCAATAAGGGCTTATCTAAAAGACGACCACATTGGTCGTCTGGGACCTATACCTATCTGAGATAGAATGCTCACTGAGAACAGCTGTCCACTCTGCTATTGGATTTACACCTTTCTTCGCTCTTTTCGGATACCATATGTTTTCTAGTGGAGCAGAATATAAACTAAGCCGAAAATTAGAATCTCTAACTGACCATCAAATATTAGATGTGGATCGAAACGACAAGTTGGAAATCATAAGACAACAAATTAAACAAAACCTACAAAAAGCCTACGAAAAAAGTGCGAAAAGATATAATCAAAGAGCTCGAGTGGTTACTTTCGTCCCAGGGCAAGAAGTCTATCGTGGAAACACTGTCTTAAGCGACTTCGCGCAGAACCTAAACGCGAAATTTTGTAGAAAATTTTTGA